GAGCCCCCAATAAAATGACTTAATTAAAATAAAAATTTAAATGAAGTATAGACAAGTGGTAACCCAGAAAAATAGGCACAATATATTGCAAAATGAAAATATAAGCCGAAATCAAATACATGAAAGCCTACTCATTTGCAAAAACATAGTATGTATACAGGAAAAAAAATCCTGGAAAAACTTAATTAGGGGAAAAAATTAAAATTGTAGGTAATTTTAAAAAATTGAAGTAACATGCTTATTGCAGAAGACTTAGAGACTCAAAACAGAAAATATAAAGAGGAAAAGTAAAATCGCTGGTGATCTCGCAATGCCAGGGATAGGAATGATTTTGGTGTATTTCTTTCTAAATATTATTTAACAGATAAACATTCATGATCTCTAAACACTTGAGATGATATTATAAGTACAATTTTGTACCCTGTAATTTCCACTGAATATTTTCCCATGATTATTTTATACAATATATATAATACTCCATCTTATTATATATAATACATATTATATATAATACTTCATCTTAATATATAATGTATATAATACTCCATAGATAGTACATTTATGAATGTACTGTGGTTTGCTTAACTATTCCATATTGCTGGGTATTGACATTGCCTGTGTTTGGGGCTTTTTTCTGTTTTGTTTTGTTTAAGTGATGCACCTTGTAAAAACATGAAAACATTACAGATTGTAGTGAAGTGAAATTACATATGTATGGCTCTTCTATCTATTTCTCTGTAACTTCCATCAAATGATTAGGTAGGAGCAGCAAATAAGGTGTAGAAAACTCTAACTCGGAGATTGGTCAGTTTTACCATTCCTCTGAATATAAGAGCGCCATCTCAGAAGCAGGTAGAGAGGGAATCCCGGGACAATCAAGCTAGAGGAGCCAGCAGTGGCACATAGGTGAGATCCATGTCTGAAGTGAAGGAAGCAGCAAAGACTGGCACAAAAACCATGACACAGAGCAGAGGAGCCTTGCCACTGAGATCATGCGGCAGTGAGGCAGAGCGGCAGGCCAGCTTCGTGGCCCATGGAGCCAGAGACCAAGGGACTACATGATGGAGAGGCTGAGAGCCAGAAAGAGATTTGGTTGCTGGCTGAGAAGAGGTGCTACTGTGGACCAATGACTGTTTTCTGACCCTGGTTTGTGGTAACCAGTTAACGTCCCTAATAAACTCTCATCTTGAGTCCTGTCTGTGAGTTATGTGTAGCCATTACAAGGGATTATGGAAGCCAGCAGAGACCCAAGGTGCCATGGGAGGAATCGTTGGTGTATAAAAGAAGGAGAGAGGGTGGAGGCATGTCTGACCTCGGCCTTGTGGCAATAGGCCTGGAGCTGTTGAGGAGTTGGACTCTCCTTCAAATGTGGCCTCCATGCCACTTCCTCATGGGCAAAGTTTCAATTCCCTCGGGTTACCACCCCAGTCCCAGTACCTGGCCCCTCCTCCCTTCTCCAAAAAATATACAGTGAACCCTCGCCACTTCACGCTTCGACTTCCGCGGCTTCACTCTATCGCGGTTTTTGCGTAACAGCACCCACTGCCTACACCCGCTCCTTCAGAGGAAAAAGACGGCGACCCACCTGTAGAGTACATCCCTTAAGTCATTTCATAGGCTATT